CCAGAAGACATGGAATAAAATAATCAGAAGTGAGGGGAAATAATTCACAGTTGATAAACCTTTTTGTTCTGCAGTAAAAATATAATAATTTCAAATTTACAGGCATCTAATGATATAATCTCAAACCACGTGGAGTAAAAATTAATAGAAATGCAAGGTGAAATTGATAAACCTACCATTGTAGTGGGAAATGTGAACAAATCTCTCTCACTTATTGATGTGTCAAGAAAATAAAAATAATATTCAATATATTAATTAAACACAATTAATAGGCTTGATTTGCCAGTCATCTATTAAGAATCCTACATCCATTCACATTCTTCTCAGGCCACATTGGACACTTACAAAATCTGGATGCACAATGGATCGGAAAGCAAATCTCAGTGAATTTTGGAGAAATGATATCATAATAACTAAATTATCTTGTCACAAGTTAATTAAGAATTCAATTAACAAAAAAGGTAAAATTTGCCTATGCATGTAGAAATTTAAAAACTCACTTCCAAGTAATTCTAAGACAAAGAACTCGCAATGGAAAAATTTTTAATATCTAATATTGAAAAATAAAAAATATCATTTGTCAAAACTCAGGGAATGCAGCTCCTTTGAAGGAAATTATACTACCAATTTTTTTTTAAATCGAAAAGTCTGTCAACATAAAACGATAGAGTATAGTAGGATAAGTATAATAAAATAGCAAACAAATCCAGAATCTCAACAAACCCCAAAACAGACTATGTTTAAAACATGAGTAAAATTCAGATGACCTTGAACGACATGAATTTGAACTGTGCAGATCCACTTACACACAGATTTTCTTTTACCTCTGCCCCCCTTGAGACAGCAGGACCAACCCTCCCTCTTCCTCCTCCTCCTGAGCCTACTCAGCATGAAGATGATGAGGATGAAGACCTTTATGATGATCCATTTCCAGTTAATAGACAGCAAATATATTTTCTCTTCCTCATGATTTTCTTAACATTTTCTTTTCTCTAGCTTATTTTATTGTAAAAATACACTACATAATTCACACAACACAGAAAATATATGTTAATTGACTGTCTATGTTATCAGTAAGGCTTCCAGTCAACAGTAGACTATTAGTACTTAAGTTCTGATGGAGTCAGAAGCTATAAACAAATTTTCAACTGTGCGGGAGGTTGGCACCCCTAACCATCCCCCAAACACTGTTCAAGGGTAAACTGTACATAAAACTCCAGAAAGATTGAGCTGGATAGAGCTAGAGAAAAGAAGAGAGCCACAGCAAAACATATAAAGAATGAAAAAGGGGTATAAAGCTATGAATACAGTGGAAACGTAAAAGATAGCAAAAGAATATGAACAAATTTATGCCAATAAATTTGAAGATTTCAATATATGGCTAGAAAAATGCACAACAAATTAACTCAAAGTAGAAAATTTGAATGAATTTATAATCATTAAAAAATTGAATCAGTAGTCAAAATGTTCCCACAATGTAAATATCACGCCCAGACAGTTTTGCAGACAGGTTTTACCGAACATTTATGAACAGATCATTCTAATGTTACACACAAAAAAACAAATAGTCTATAGCTCATGGGACTAGTGTAACCTCAATACTACCGCTTGATAGGAACAGTAAAAGAGAGGGAGGGAGGGAGGGAGGCAGGGAGGGAGGGAAGGAAGGAAGGAAGGAAGGAAGGAAGGAAGGAAGGAAGGAAGGAAGGAAGGAAGGAAAAATTACAGGCTAATGTCACTGGCAACACAGATGTAAAATTCTACACTATTAGCAAACAGAATCTAGCAATGTAAAACCAAATCACCAAGATATTTTAAACCTAGAATGCAAAGTTACTATGGTAGAAGCTCTATTTAAGATTTATGTCATTTAGGTGAACTGATTAAATAAAAAATAATATAATCTTAATAGATGCATAAATTACGTTTAATTAAAGTCAATAACCATTTGTAGTTTTTAAAAAGTAAACTAGGAAGAGAATGTGCTCCTCCATAAAGGGTATCTATAAAAGAATGTACAGTAAACATTATGCTCAATAGTGAAATATTAGAACCATTCCCTTTAAAATCAGAAATAAGACAGGGATGCCATTACCACTTCTATTTTACCTTGTACTAGAAAATCCTATGAACACAATAAAGCAAGAAAAAAAATAAATAAAAGATCATGTTCAAGTTTGAACTTATAGCATTACCTGACTTGAAGTGAGTATTTTTAACCTTATTAATAGGTACACATGAATTGGTAGGAATTAACTATTTGCCTGTATAGAATTTAGCTTTATCTAAACAGGAAGAGGAAGTAAAATGGCAAATAAACATAAAAAAAACTCAACCTCATAACTAATTAAGCAAAATGAAAATCACAACGGAGATAATATATCAAGTGTACTCAATGATCAAAAGTGGGAAAGTGAGAAAACACCCATGATAAGGATGGGGAGTAGGAGAACGCTCGTACACTAGTGGAGGGAAAACAACTGGCATTGTCTGGTAGAGGGGAACATACTGCGTGTGTTACTCCTATGTAGATATCCCGAAAAATCTCCCAAACATGTGCACCAGGTGACATACAACAGCTTTCACAGCGGCACTGCTTTTAGTAGCAAATTTTCTTTTAAAACACCCAAACCAGAAAGAGCCCAAATGTCCATCCACAGCTAACTGGATAAACATGTGCATAAATGTAATAATATATATTAGAGAAAATGAATGAGTTGCAGTTATACATCAACAGGGATAAACAATGAAAACGTGCAAAATAGGCTAAATAAATATTCCTCATATATTTCTTATGTTTTAGAAATACAGACACATGATAAAACTACTAAGCAAGGAAATTGTTAAATTCATGACAGTGGTTTCCTCTGTTATATAGGGAGGGACCACATCAACTTCTTCCTGGTAATACTGTATTCTTTAAGCTGTACCTTAATATCAACAGAATATGCTACCTCAGGTGGTACTGAATTTCCAGCCACAGAAGTTTGCTTTGTTTGAAGAAATAATGTCACTCAGGTGAGACATTTAGAGATAGAGAACACATATATCACATAGGGAATTGGAGGTGATTATCCCTACAAGGATCTTGTAACTCTAAAATTTCATAATTCCATATCCACCATAGTAAACAACACAGTGTGATACACATAAAAACAAATAATAATTACAACAAACACTGACTGACTGCTAATGTTGAAAAACACTGCTGGTTGCTAACCAACATTCTTTCTTATTCTTCTCTGCTAGAAGAATCCAATTTTGTTCAGCCGTCTTTCCTTCTCCCATGTAACCCAAGGTGGTGTATCCTAGCTTGAGGGACATCTTTTACTTAATCTAAACTAATCTTGTACTCCACTGGTATAGAGTTTTAACATCTGGCCCTGTTCTGGCCAAAGAGACATGAAATAAGGTGAGGGATGTCTAAGAAATGTTTCCTTGCCCCTAAACAGGAGACCCAGAAATAGGTATTCTTTCTTGATGTTGTCGTGCACAGATGTGACATCTAGAATGCTACTGCCATGATGTCATCAGGAGAAAGACTGGCTTCAAAACTAAGCCAATTGATCCATGATGACAACACTGAGGCAAGGAATTAAAGCTGGAGTCTTACTTCTTGACTTGTTGGTAAGTAATATGTCATCTTATCGTATATATTTTCATGTTGTTCATATTTTCCCACTGAAGCCATATTAACTGACACACTTACCAGGTGCATAGGATTTCCTCATTTAATCTTTACAGCAATTCCAGGAGCAAACTACCATGATGATATCCATTTGATAGTCAATAAAAATAAAACTTAGAGAATGAAAATAAGTTGCTCAAAGTCACACATATACCAAGAGGCAAATTCTGGGGTGTCTGATTTCAAAACCCATGCTAATAACCTACACATTGTCCTTTCTATGATGCATATTATTACCTGGCATTCAGCAAGCATTCCCACCCCTGAGGGTCCCTCTGTATCACAGAGCTGGTTTCTCAAATTCCCCTGCAGCTGAAGTCCTAAATTCAATTCAGCTTCTGCCAATAAGATAAACTCATGTGGAACTTAAAAGCCAAAAGGGAAATAAAGGGCATCTACTTGTGGCTGTGAGGGCTGCAAAGGAAATCCCAGTAGACATGAATGTGCAATGAAGCCCACGTTCCAGTAGCTTGTCACAAACTTCCAAAGCATTTCAGAAGCATTTTGATTACTCTAATTATCTCTTGCTCTGTTTTCACTTTTCACTTCACAATATTTTGGGTACTCCAACAAACACAAAAGCTAAGGCAGGTAAACCCATCAAAAGGGTTTATATGCCTGCAGATTAAAAAACAACTATATAAAACACCAGACAGTCATTTACAAAACTTTTTGTATTAACAGTTATGATATTGGTACTAGTCTGCTTTATCTAAGCATGACTACTAAAGCAGTATTTAACATTTTTTAAGTGATCATATGTACTTAGTGAAATGTGAAAACAGCAACTAATTAACACACTAAAAAAGCCAATACAACAGAAGACGACAGTCACCCTTTAGACTTTTGGTATTTTCATACAGGCAGTAAAGCATATTGGTCTTCTATTTAGATATTTTTATATATTATATAAGGATATGCATAATGATAGGAATTAATTACTGGTTGGCAAAAAAATGGCCACAGCGAAAGGGTCCACAAAAATTCACCTCTCCCCACAGGTCTCAGAGTCCACTCCTTTTTTCTCCTTCCACTCCTTCCTATTTTCCTGATTGCTGGATTCTAGAATTTACAGTGGAAATGACAGAGTGAAACACTAGATAGATGAGGTAAGAAGTGGTAGAAATTGACAAGAGCTAAGCAAAGTACCAGTTTATGGAGTTAACTGACAACCTGGCAAATGAAAATTTTGTGCTCTGTTGCTCAAAACAGAATTTTTCTTTATGAACAATTTTGATTGTAGAGCATGTGGTCACATATCTGACTTAAAAGATATCATTTGGAGGATTTCAAAATAGATCTTGAAACGAACCTCAATTGGCTCTTCACCGCCTTTCACTTGACTTTCCCCTATTTCTCCGTTCTCATAGTTGCTGCTCTTCTCAACCCATAGCTCAGACTTCTCCACTGTCAGTCGAAGCTGGTCTAGATCTGCCTTGATTTGCTTGTAGTTATCTACATCTTGATTAGACACCAGTAATTGCACCTAAAACAGAATAATTTCAATCTCTTAGTTGAAGTTCACTATTTCTAGAACATTTATGAATATTTTAGATGTATATTGACTATGAAAACCTACCTGGAAGTAAGAGTGAACTTTTAACCAGTATTTTCACATATTAGAATTTTTTAACTGAGCCCTAGAAAAACTTTTCAAAGTGATTTAATATTAAAAGACACCCTAACTTTATTTTCACTGCTGAAGTTAATTTTTCTGAGACTCTGTTTGAGAAGAGACAGAAACAAAAATAAGTGGGAGAAAATATCAATAGACACAATCTAAACCTCATCATACAAGTTTTTATTTTCTTATAATTTTCATGTATTATATGACATATACATATATGTATTTAATATAGAACTACCCTTTTATTTCATATTCTTTTAACATATTCCTGTAAAACTGCCTAAATGATCAATACCCTATTATGTTAAATAAATAGTGAAACATATATAAGCACTTAAGTATTACTAATTAATAATCTCAAGATTGATGTCTTATTCAAAGACCACAGAGAAAAACATTAGATCCATACCAGTTCCTTTCTTTTGGATTTATGCAGTTTTCAATCACAAAATAACTATTTCAGGGCTATTGGTGCTCCTACCCAAATTCATCAGTAAAATTTAAGGATAAAATAATAGCAGTGGTAATAAAATTCCTAACATGTTGTTATCTCCCAGTGCCTTCCCAAATCTTGGTGCCTTTCATTTGTTTTAAAGACATTAACTAAAAAATCACTTGTGGGGAATGCCTTCTAAATAGATCACATCCTGGCATAGACAAGGCCATGTCTCTGTTTAAAAATTGAAAGTGTCTCCAGGAAAAGCCACACAGTGTCATTACCCCTGCAGCCATGAAGTCAGGTTGGATGTTATTAACACTTTCAGAGCTTTTACCTTGAATGTATTGAGGGCCCTCCAATCTTACCTGCTTAAATGCCTGTAAAACCTCCGCCCTCTGGCTGAAGTGCTTAAACAACAGCTGCAGGGCTCCAGACAGCAAAGGCGGGTAGTCGTGCATGATCAGATGAATGAGGACCCGTAAAAATGTCCTGCCTCCTTCATCATCAAGTTGAACTGGGTTTTTTTCCTTTCTATAGAACCAAAAATATTTCTAAAGTGACTCATATTTATATAACATCTACACTTCAGTATTAGAATTGTATACATATTCTCAGAAGTATATCATTTGTTTTTCCAAATTAGGAAGTGAACAGGAAAATATTTTCTTTGTTTTCCTCATGTAACTGATGAGGAAACAATCACAAAGAAAAGCTTGTGCCTGTCCACGAAAGCAGGGGTGATCGAACCTCCTAGTTTATCCAAGACTCACGGGTTCCTAGGCAAACTGGGATGAGTTGGTCACCTCAGCATAGACAAAAAATGGGCATCTGCGTCAATCCAAAAGCATTTATGGGAGGAGCTGTGCTAGGCTGGATGGACACCAGTGACTGATTTCCCCAGGGGCCCTACAGACCCCTACATGACAGGTGGGGAGGAGTGGGGAAGGCCAGCACGCATGTGCGTGAACCATCACCAGAGCAGCCACGGGTGTGGCGTAGGAGGATTCTGGGTGAGGTTCCACTAAAACAGAAGGTCCGTCTATTTCAAGGTGAAATCATACTGGTTCATTCTCCTAGGGAATAATGAAATTCTTCAGTAGGAAAACACAACAACAAAACTAAACTAAATGTTCACTAGAGATAAAAATCCTTTTTTGGTGCTCCTAATTCTTAATTCCTGTTTGTCTTTCCAATGACAACAACACAAACTGCAACAAGATGCTTAGTGTAGTCGCCCCCACTACCCTCGCCAACTCTATCTGTGGTTTTACTTTCTGTGGTTTCAGTTGCCCATGGTCAACCATGGTCCTAAAATATGAAATGGAAAACTTCAGAAATACATAATTCACGAGTTCTAAATTTTGTGCCATCCTGCCTGTCCCATTTGGGACATGAATCACCCCTTCGCCAGCATCTCCACGCTGTACGTGTTCCCCCCTCATTAGTCGCTTAGTAGCTGTCTCAGTCATCACATGACTGTCTCAGGGTCACAGTGCTTGTTCAAGTAACCCTTATTTTACTTAATAATGGTCCCAAACTGCAAGAGTGGTGATGCTGGCGTATTGTTATAATTATTTTATTATTAGTTACGTTGTTAATCTCTTAGTATGCCTAATTTATATATTAAATTTTATCATAAGTCTGTATATATAGGCAAAAACACAGTGTATACAGGGTTTGGTACTAGCTGTGGTTTCAGGCATCCACTGGGGGTCTTGGAATGTATCCCTAGCAGATAAGGAAAGACTACTGTACAGATTGTTTTTAGGTTCTCATGTCAGGTCTGTAATAAAAATGAGCACCAGAAGCTTAATAATTTGTAGCTTAAATGTTTTAATTTTTCTTTTTGATCGCTATTAATTTCATTTCTGAAGAAGAAAGAAACAATATTAAAACAATAAATGGCAGGATTCCTGATGGCAAAGGAGGCTAGTCATGTCAAAGGTGTCTTGTTTTATTTAATCATGGGTATTTCCAACTGGCAAAAAATAGCTTTATTTCTCTCATATAAAGTTAATGATAATAACATTAAAGAAGTTACTTTCTTGCCTCAAATATCTAAGATTCAGGGAAGCAATGTTTTACAAGATGCGGTGATATTTATACCAGGGGAGTTAAAGGGCATTCTTGGGCTGTCATTATTTGAGGAAAGAAAAGCAAAGAATTCAGAGGAAAGTTCAATACACTGATCTCATCTCTCTTGTCCTTTTTTTTTTCACCTGACCTAAAGAAAGGCTATGCTTTCTCCTCTAGAGTAAATTAGCAGCTTCATTTCTGCCAGAAATTATGTTAGCAACAATAGAGGCTCTAAAAATAAATAGATATACAGTGAGCAATATCAAAGTATCAACAGAATTCTAAGTAAAGTCTTATTCACAAGTAAGATAAAGATATATAAATGTTACTATACCTTCCCGCAAACATAGTTTCTGCCTGAGCTGCAATTTCATCTATATCAGGAACAATAGCTGCAAAAATAAATGGTAAAATCTCTTCTTTATCCTATTTTAATTAGGAGCCATAATAGTCATATTAATACCAATTGATGTGAAAATATTTTTGTCTTAATTTCTTTATTCTCCCAAAAGTCCATTAACACTAATAATCTGATTTTAAAATGGGCAAAAGATCTGAATAGACATTTCTCAAAAGAAAACATACAGATGGCAAACAGGTTGATGAAAAGGTGCTCAACATCACTGATCATCAGAGAAATACAAATCAGAACTACAATGAGATATCATCTCACCCCAGTTAAAATGGCTTTTATCAAGAAACAGGCAATAATAAATGCTGGTGAGAATTTGGAGACAAGGGAACCCTCGTACACTGTTGGCGGGAAGGTAAATTAGTACAACTGCTATGGAGAACAGTTTGGTGGTTTCTCAAAAAAACCTAAAAATTGATCCAGTAATTCCACTGCTAGGCGTATATGCAAAAGAAAGGAAATTTGTATAACAAAGAGATATCTGCATTCCCATGTTTACTGAGGTGCTATTTACAATAGCTAAGATTTGGAATCAACCTAAGTGTCCATCAACAGACAAATGGATAAAGAAGTGTGGTAGACAAACACAATGAAGTGCTATTCAGCCATTAAAAAAAAAAAAAAAGAATGAGATCCTGTCATCTGCAACAACATGGATGGAACTGGCTAATTAAATGAAATTAGCCAGGCACAGAAAGACAAACTTCTCATATTCTCACTCATTTGTGGGAGCTAAAAATTAGAACAACTGAACTCATGGAGATAGAGAGTAGAATAATAGTTACTAGAGGCTGGGAAAGGTACTGGGGTGGGTGAAGTGGGGATGGTTAACGGTTATAAAAATATAGTATGATAGAATGAATAAGATCTAGTATACAGAGTAACTATAGTCAATAATAATTTGTTGTACATTTTTAATAACTGAAAGACTATAATTAGATTATTTGTAACACAAAAGATGAATGCTTGAGGTGATGATAAATGCTTGAGGTGATGACAAATGAGGTAACCTCATTTATCCTGATATGATTATTACACATTGTATACCTGTATCAAAATACTCCATATACCCCACAAATATATATATCAACTATATACCCACAAAAATTAAAAATTAAAAAAATTTAAGTCAATTGACAGTTTGAAAAAAATCACAATATAGTTCCACTAAGACATCAATGTAATTTTTTAATGTAAACTATATTTTAAACTAATGTATTGCTGTAATCAAAAATATGTTTAAAAGATCAGAAAGCACCAGTTACAAAGGTGCCTCTTATCTGGAGAAGTGTGTGTGTATATATAGATCATATATACACATATATGCACATACTTACATATAATTTAAATGAGTGATAACATGGGAGGATAATTAAAGAATCAAAATATACATACAATGAGCCTTGTTATTATATGGTTATTTCCAAACACCATGGTCTTTTTACCTAAGCTTACTAGTACTAAAATTCCATCCCTTTTTCTTGTGGGAAAGGGCATTTTTTTTTTCTATGTGAACCAATCATGATTCCTTACTGTCCCACACCACTAACATTTTGAAGATATCCTTCCTAAGATACCATGGGGTTTTTCATTTGTTTGTTTGTTATTGAAACAGGGTCTCGCTCTGTTGCCCAGGCTGGGGTACGGTGGCACAACTTCAACTCACGGCAGCCTCGACCTTCCAGGCTCAAGCAATCCTCCTGCCTCAGCCTCCTGAGTAGCTGGGACCAAAGACATGTGCCTCCAGTACTGGCTAATTTTTTTGTATTTTTTTGTAGAGATGGGGTTTCGCCATGTTGCCCAGTCTGGTCTCAAACTCCTGGGCTCAACGAATCCACCCCCCTCAGCCTCCCAAAGTGTTGGGATTACAGGTGTGAGCCACCATACCTAGCCAAGGTAACATGTTTAAATAATAAAATACACCATTTATTTGTCATCTCCAAAGCATAAAAAGAAACACAGTAAGATATAAAAATAGAAAAACAATTCTCCCTGAAAGGTATCCCTTACTGGTACAAAAAAAGGAAGGAGATCAAGTAAATTAGAGAGAAAGGGTTTTCTGGGGTGCCCCTAGACTTTCCTCTGGTACTTTACTAACACTTAAAGCTCATGTTTCCAGAAGCCTGGCCTCTGGGAGTTAATAATTTTTATGCTACTGTCAATGCAACCGCCAGCAAGACTTTCTGGTTCTGCCATATCATTCCTGGAAATAGCCCTTTGGGTTCTATACTTCTGAGAAGCAGAAAAACAACACCATTGCAAACGTGCCAGAAGAGAAGTCTTGCTTAGGCATGTTCAAGTCCTTCTGCAGAGGTGTGCTGCCTTTTGATGGGACTAATGATTCAGACAGCAGGACAGTTGGTCTAGTATCCATTTTAACTACATGCTTGTAATCACTAAATCATTCCTAACTGATTGATGGACGAAGAAAAGGGGAGAGTTCCTAATGTCACATTGGTGGCAGTTAGAAGGAAGTTTCACATCTGTGTACAAATCCTATTCTCAGGAAAAGAATTCCATTAGCTGGCTAAATCTTCAATAAGACATACTTTTCAGCCTACAATGACTTGGCCTGACCTGTCCAAAAAAAATGGTAATTTAATATTTCTTAGTTTTTCTAAAGTCCTTTCAATAGTCACAAAATTTTTACAATCATATTTGTGCTCTTTTGTTGTTATGCTCCAATGCTCAGAGATAAATTAGCTGCATTTTTACACTTTTTAAATATGAAAATTGAAATATAGTTCCAGTTTATAACCATACAAAGTAAATTAAAAAAAAAAATCCACACACACAAAATGATACCAACAACCACATTCAGGTCTTTGGGGAATGCCATGTCTTTATTCTTGGATCCGGCAATGGCTTCTCTTCAAAACACCTATCCTGATAACTACATTTCACACTGCTCTTTGATCCTGGCAGAAAAACTTCTCTTGGATTTTCACCAAAACATCATGATGCTGGAAAGATTTGGACTCTGGAGCTGGAGAGACCTCAGAGAGAATCCTTGTGCCACTACCTTCAGGACCTTTGGCAAGAAACTTAACCTTTCTGACCTTGGTTTTCTCCTCTGTATAATGACACAGTGAACAGTGCATCTATCTTATAGAGTCCTGAAGATTACAAGGAAAAGGCATTCATAGGAGTTAGCGACAAACAACAGCAAACACCTTCCACACCATTCTCAGAGAGTTATTTCATCATCTGTCTCAGTTCTTTGATGTCATTAGTGGAGATTATATCTACATTTTTGTCACGTAAAAATATGATGAAGCTGGAAACCATCATTCTCAGCAAACTAACACAGGAACAGAAAACACTACATGTTCTCATTCATAAGTGGGAGTTGAACAATGAGAACACATGGACACAGGGAGGGGAACATCACACACCAGGGCCTGTCAGGGAGTAGGAGGCAAGGGGAGGGATAGCATTAGGAGAAATACCAAATGTACATGACAGGTTGATGGATGCAGCAAACCAACATGACACGTCTATACCTATGTAATGAACCTGCACGTTCTGCACGTGTATCCCAGAACTTGAATTATAATAAAAAAATAAAAAATAAAAGCACAAAAAATATAATCATGTTTTAAAATATGATAGGTACTTTCAAGTTCTCAGAAGAACAAAATACAAAGAGTAAATATTGTCACAAAGAGATACCTGATGGTAGTAAAGTATCTGGAGATCCACTGGCAGATGTCTCCGCATTGTCATTGTCCTCTCCAAACTCCTTCTTATATATCGACAGCATATATGAGATCCTATAATCTAGTCTGACACTCAGGATAAACTATAAGAAAGATTAAGAACAACATAAATTTCTTTCATTAGCATAGTATTTAAAAATGCAATTCACGACACACCAATACCAGTGGAAGTATCAACCTTTCGAAGGAACTAGTTAGAAGATTTTAACACCAGTTGCCACATGCTTGTCAGCCTTCAGACTAAGTAAGGGAACTCATTTCCACTAGCTAATGTCAGTAAAATCCCTAAGCCATTTTTGGAAAGAACATTTGACTCCCTATGATTGCTCTCTGAATATTCCAGCTAGAGGCACCATGGGGGTCTGGATGAAGAGGTAATGATGATGTCATTTCACTGAACACTTTGCAGAGTGCCATTGTCTCTGGGAGGAGACTGTTGAAGGTGTGACCCTCATTTCTTACACAGTAGGGCAAGAATTCAGCTACAACAGTATGACTGTGACTATACCATGATCAGTCCTAAAGCCAGGTTCTAAAAGAACAGTTGAAGTACCAGCATCTATACACCATGGATTTTCCTCACTGGTATTTGCATTTTCTTGGGTTTGGGTTGCTGTCATTGTTCTCATTCATGGATGCATGGATAGAAACTAAGTACCTAGCAAGGCTCCAGACTGTGCTAGGTACCACAAGGAATGCAAACAGGTGAAGCCTACTGCCCTCAAAAAGCCAATAGTCGAGTTGGGGAAAAAAATATAGCACTGTTAGCATAATTAGGAAACTATTGAGAGCTAAATCATGTGGTCTAAATACAACAGAAATCAAAGAAGAAAACGCTGGGATGTGCTGCAGATCAAAGGAGGGGTTTTTACATAGGTACCATCTGTTCCTGTCTGCCTGAGATAGGCCCTATTTGACCTTTTGTTTCAGCATAATTATTAACGGTGCCCCTACATTCTCAAAAGTGTCACATTTTTGTGGTCACCCAAGTTTTAGGAAGATTGGCATTACAAGGCATCATTTAACTTTATCTCTATCCAAACCACCTGTGTCCCATCCCTCCCTCCTCCTACGCCCCTTCTCTCATCCTCTTTCCCATTCTAACAGCACTGGAGTGCCTGCACTTCCACTCTTGGCTCCACACAGGTGCTCACAGTGTCCACTTTACTTTGAATATTCTCCTCCACTTCATAATAATTACATGTTAAGATATCCTCTGTCAGGGCACAGTGGCTCATTCCTGTAATCCCAGCTCTTTGGGAGGCTGAGATGGGGGATCGCTTGACCCCAGGAGTTCAAGACCAGTCTGGGCAACGTGGCAAAGCCCCATCTCTACAAAAATACAACAAATTAGCCGGGCATGGTGGTGCACGCCTGTAATCCCAGCTACCATGGATGCTGAGGTGGAAGAACATTTGAACCCATGAGGTCAAGGCTACAGTGAGCCAAGACTGTGCCACTGCATTCCTGCCTGGGTGACACAGGAAGATCCTGTCTCGAAAAAAAAAAAAAAATTCTCCAAGGTCCAGTTTAAATTCTTTTTTGATGCAGCTTTCACTGGTTCCCCAGTCATAACCTGAATCAATCTCCCTCTTTCCTCCCTCCCTCCCTCCCTCTGTCCTGTGTCTGTCTCAGTTTCTCTCTCTCTCTCTCTCTTCACCACCCCACCTTGGCTAGACTTTTATGCTTTTTATGGAAACTTCCTCCATGTCAGCTGTACTCAGCTGGTTAATTCACCAGACATGTGTTAAACAAGGTACTGAGGAAGGCACCAAGGGCATGAAAAGGTGCCAAGGATCTCAATCGTGCCTTTCAAGAACTTACGGTCTAGAGGGGAAAGCAAACACCAGAGACTCCTAGTAACGTGTGGTGAGGGCTGCAACACATATTGGTTGAACTGATTCTTGGTAGCAAAGGGATGTGCAGAGCAGGAGATAACTCATGGGAAAAAAGGACTGAGAAAGGGTATGGGATTTGGCAGCCATGAGCAGAAGGCAGGGGGCAGAGCTGGACTGCAGGTGCTTCACAGGGAAGGGTGTTTAAAATCCTATTTTAAAAAGTAAAGGATAAATCATAAACAAATGAAACACCAACTTTCCGTTGATGATGTTTACATGCAGCATTGTATTCCATAAACATAATCAAAATTAAAACTTTCATTCTCTAATATGCCTACTCAGGAAAAACAAGTGGAAAGTAGAAAGAAAGGAGGAAAGTGAAGGATAAAAACAAAGGCAGAGAAAGAGAGTTAAGAAAGGGCCAGGAAGAGAAAGAGAGAGAATGAGAGAGAAATGAAAAGAGAGGGACAGAGAGAGATCTACAAAGTGATGGGGGACAAAAAAAAAAGAAGACCCAGGGGAAGAGAGGAGGTGGCACAAGGCACAGGACCTTGAAGTCCTTGTAGCACCAAGGAGTGGGGCTACAAAGAAATTCTCGAAGAGCCATTCCAAGAAAGACATTCAGAAACAGTATTCAGGCATACGGGCATGGTGAAGCCAGCGCAGCCACAGGGACAGAAAATCAGAGTGAACAGCGGTTCAAGGAGACGCTGCAGAAATGAATCAGCCCCAGAGTGCCAAGCCGTAGAAGCTCCATCTCATCATTTTTTAGCTGCTGGAGATTGTTTTTCTAATGCTTCTTTTCTGTAAATGTGGGCTAAAATGAGGTCACATATTTTAGAGTTTGTCCCATGAGTCGGATGACGGTAAGCTGGGGCTCAATAGGTCCACGGGTCAGGTGATCGCTACCTTTCTCAGTTTAAGAACAGGAAAACTTTAAACGATTTTTCAGGGTCATGAACACAGCATTGGGAGGCCTGCCAATATTTCTCAGGATTCAGCCTTTGAAATTCCTAGAGGAACTGTGAAACCTTTTATGATTATAAATCTAATTACTTTAAATGAACAACGTACAGACCCTTCCAGGACTACTAACCCACTTCTGGTAGCTCGGTCTATATTAAATTATGATAAAAGACACAGTAAACTGTACCCAGATTCCTAATAGGTACTTGGAAACGTCAAACTCCATTCTCCAAATCTGGAATAAATGCTATAATTAAGGTATCAAAAAAGTTATTTTCAAACTTACAAACTGCTAAGAATTCATAGCTATAGTAATGGGAAGTCTATTCACTAAACCAATGGGCATGGAATAATAATTTATCTCCTTTAAATTCTTAAAATTAGGCATTACACTAGGTTAATTTTTTCTAGTTATTCCTTGTCCTTCAGAAACAAAAACAGAGAGAGATTGTCACATATAAAATACCAAAACCAATGATTAACAATTTTTGTTAATAAGAAACAAAATTTTATTTGTGTTTCTTGCTAAAACAATAAATCTGGATATACAGAATCATATGTTCAATTCAATTACAAATAGGAAAAGAGCTGGAAATGAATCAATAACTTTGTTTGCTCTGAAATCCTTCTCAAATGAAGGTAAAGTTCAATCAAGGTCAATATTAACTTTTTTTTTAATACACATGAAAGCAGTTTATCAACCTCAAAGCACCCCACAATTGTTAGATATTATCATTAGTATATTTAATGGGAAGGGACAAATGTGATTCATATGTTAAATAGTGTCTATGATATTTCTTACCAGGTTTGTCATTAACTTAAAAAAAATAAAATTATATCGATTGCATTTCAGAATATTTACACAGTGATTTGGAACAAAAAGGGTAAGAAGTTAAACCAATAAGCAAAATCACATCTTTGTCACCTAGCTTCTGTTAGGCAACACACCTGCAAAATCTCAATGATCTTCAGCTTGGTGTCCATCACAGTCACATCCTCATGCTCGGCGGGGCTCCCTTGCTTGCTCGGGTGGATGCTGGGTGGCACATCTGGCACGCTCATGGGGAAGATGGAGCCTCTACTGAGTACCATCTGGGTCATCATCTCTCCCACCCCATGAATGGTTCTCATCACATTGTTTCCTGACATGAGAAAATGCCGTAAGTCAACACACACAACCCCTGGAGAACATGTAACTATAAAATTCAGCTGGTCACAAACACACTGAAAAGCAGCCAGGAAAAGGATTCAGGATAAGACAGAATAGCATCAGCATCGTTTGGGCTCTTTCTTTACAGATAAAATTAAGATACTGCAGATATGTTTCAAAATAACAACTTTTCAAAATGGAAGTTTTCCTTTCTCAGAAAATGCTTTCAAATCATGTACCAAAGGTGAGCTGGTTGCTCTACCATCCAAATCAGGTTCTTCTGTAATACAGTATGTCCTACTAACTGTCATACCAATAGGCCCTTGCTTTTAAAATAACGCAAAAGAAGATTACTAATCGCCAAGATAAAGTTAGTTGCAAGTGGGGATACAAAGATTGCATAAAAACACTTACATGTTGAATTCTAGCATCATAATCCAATCCTCAAACTAATGATTTTTTAGCTTTCCTTTCACAACACTTATAAAAAGAGCTTGTGAGGGGGATTGTTACCTTTATTTTAAGAAGAAACAGTCTCATCTGGGGAAGACATATACATTAGCCAATACACTTCCCATTCCTTTATCCAATTTGAATAGAAAACCATTACTCAAAATCCACAGAAAGCAATAATGTTTGAGGTGATTATGGAAACAAGCTAGTGAAAAACATGATCATTTTCAATGAGGGATCATGCTCTTTCCGTCTCTTCCTGAATTTGGCTTCTCCTTTATTTATTTGCTGATAAAATGTCATCATTCGTATCATACACACGTTCCTTACACTGACCACAAATAGCTGTATCCAAGGATCCTCCTTGACACTATGACAATTTACGTTCTCCAGCCTGACTGCTGCTTCTCACTTCTAAGGTCCTACAAGAAGCAATAAGGATGCAAAAGAATGGCTGTCTCCATTCCTTTCCCAACAGTGGCCTTTGCTTCGTGGGTGTTCATGGAGCTCTGCCTTAAGCTAAGGCCTAAGAATCTGGCTAAGAATTTTCCTTTCCCTCAGTGTCTCAGGGCGTAAACCAAGAGAAGGGGAAATGGAAATAAGATTGGATGAGATTTTTATTAAAAAAAGAAAAAAAAAAGCTGTCAGCTCTAAGAGAAGAATGTAAACCATGGTAATACCTACAGGATCGACAGGCAAACAAATAAAAAGAAAATATATAAAAGATGACAAGAGAATCTGAATGGTCCAGACCACAATTACCATTAAGCCACTGGTAACAACTATTATCTGTACATTGCTGAAAGGTAAAATGCCTTTGAAAATTCATTATCTTATCTAGATATGGAATCAATTTAAGTGTAAGAGGGTAATGCTTCAATAATACATCTTAGAGTGCACAAAGAAGTTAAATTTTTCCTAAAGTGGCATATTCCAGGCAGAAGTTTTCATTTTGAAGGTCTGAGACCTTTTATTACACTGCTAGTTGCATAAGCCAAAAAACACGATAAAATGTATATATAAGGGTAACTTCCAAGTTAGGACAAAATTGAGGCAACAGGATTTGAGACGGCCCCTCTTTTCTATCAGAATAGCCTTGAGGCAGAATGCTTCATTGTCTGTGGTTCTTAAACAATCACAGCAATTGAGTATTTCCACATCCCTCCCCCTGCTCGTTACATGGACTGCAGGGAGGCACATCTGGTTGTTGGCAATGGTTTTGAGCCATCGATGTCCAACCACTACCTTTATCCGAGACTTGATTCGAGTACGTATACGTGTTTGCCTCCAAGAGATGCTTTCTCACCACTAATACAGAACAGGCTCCTTTGTTATTCTTACCCCTGACTCACACATAAATCCTTGGCACCCACAGTGTCTGCATCTTATTTAGATTTGAATGGAAAATAATCATTTAATCCAAATGATTACTACACAGAAAGTTAGCCCAGACAATTCTTTCCCCCAGATATAGATCCTGTCACCAAGGAATTAAAATCCAGAGGCCAGATCCATAGTAATTTGTAACACATGTCATCAATGAAATGGGAGGGTTCACTCAGTCATACCACATTCTCAGATGCCTGTGGCACATGGTCGCCACAAACCTCACTTGACATTTCCATGTACAGCCAGCTCAGAGGCCTCAAATTAAAAATGCTGTATTTTCTGGATTTGCTTGGTGATGATGAGAAGTGCTAAGATTGTGAACTATTACAGCTTGAAAAACATGAAGTTAGACACTACATAAATCACAGCCATGCAAAGCTTCTAGTATCCATTCCTCCACAGAAAAACTTCTAATTCTAAACTGTTGAGATAAATCAGAGGTGATTAATCCTCAACATTGCAAAACAAGAAATTGTACTACTTCTCAACCATAATTAGTTAATATTGACTAGAAAGTATTCAATGAAAAAGCCTACTATAATATAAATTCTCTGAACAACCTAATGCTTACAAATTCAGCTTTTCTGTGTCTTTTACACAAACCCAGCAGCCAGAATTGGCATTTGTGTACAAAGTGTATTGAGATAATTTGAAAATATGGAAGTCATCTTTGCTTAGTACAAAGTAAGAAGAAAGGAAACACTGGGCACGGTGGCTCATGCCTGTAATCCCAGCACTTTGGGAGGCCAAGGCAGGTGGATCACTTGAGGCCAGGAGATGGAGACCAGCGTGACCAACATGGTAAAACCCCGTCTCTGTTAAAAATACAAAAATTAGCCAGGCATGGTGGTGAGTGCCGGTAATTTCAGTTACTCAGGAGGCTGAGGCAGGAGTATTGCTTGAAGCTGGGAGGCAGAGGTTCCAGTGAGCTGAGATTGCACCACCGCACTCCAGCCCAGGCAACAGAGCAAGACTTCATCTCAATAAAAATAAAAATAAAAATAAAAATAAAAATAAAAAAAGGAAGGGGCTGCTTAGAAAGAATGACTGGTCAACTTTTCAGGTTCTTTCATTATATGATTACACAGATATTTTTACTAACCTTAATTCCCTCAAGAAAAAAAATCTAAAAGACAGGTATAGCAGATGCATACTGCGAGTGGTAACTGGGAATGCTTGGGGAATATGTTGCTTTGTTCTTTGATTGTTCCAGTGAGCCAAGTTTCTATTGCCCATTTCAGGAAAGTAAAAAGCAATAAGGAATTAACCAACCTAACACGACAGCTGTGCTGACCATAATTTAATTTTGCCCTATTCAGAAATAATTTTATTGTGGTGATCACACTATTGGTTTCAACAAGCACTAGCAGTTACATGAATTTATAGCAGGTGTAAGAGATTTAACAGAATATTGATTGAAATTTACTTAAGTCTGTTGGTATTTACTTTATTTAAAGTTATATTTATTCTTTCTTTTTATTAGAAATGCTTTTCTCTTATGAACATATAAGAAAATGGTAATTTGAATTTTCTTATTGTTTAGATATCAGACATTTCTGAAACATTCTCAGCATTTATAAGAGAAAACAGACACATTTGATTCAGAGTTTTGTGAATAATTGTTCACAGCCATTTAATTGTTCTGTGACTACTAAAATCAGCTCAATGTTCTATGATAATAGAGGCCAAAAATGGATAATCCAAAAACTATTATTTTCCCTGAAACATATTTTTATAGTTGGATTTGAGTAAATCCATCAGCTGTTATAATAACTCATCTGAAACCGAATGATGTTCCACCATAAAGACATGACTCTGGAAGTCTTCCTATTTCCCATCCCAGCTTAGCAGCTCCTTTTAAACCTGCCCTTGCTGGAAAATGTCTTTACTTTCTAGAACTAGAGCAGTTTTCTATTTCAAACATTCTCTGGAGCAGTGCTTCCTCCCAGTGGTTAAGGGTCTGGGTTATAAAAAGACTTTTCTGTATGCAAAGAAAAAAAATATATTAGCATAAGATCAAAGCCTTAATTAAGCTACTAACCACAGAGCAGTAGGTAAAATGGTAGCAACCCAGGTTAAGGAGAAGATCAAGATTAAACAGCCGGAGAAAGCAATTTTATCTAACCAGCCCTCCCAATTCCAAGTAAGATCACGGTATTTGGAAAGCTGGATAGCTAGATAGTTCTACATAGTACATACATGCATGGCTTTTATTCCATGTGCCGAACCTACAGGGAACTTCCTATACCTTTGCCTTGCGTTCATGTGTCCAGACGGTCACACAACTTGGTCCCTCACTCCTTTCTGATTTGTGGTGCAATGTCACCTCCTTAGGTAGACCTCTTCTGGTCACCCTCTCTGAAGAGCTTCCATCACTCTTAATCCATGCATGTAAATTTCGATCAGGGCATTAACACTCTCTCACATCATATCATATATTTGTCTAGGTGTTTACTGTAGTCCTCCTCTCCAACAACATAAAAGAACACAAGTTCCATGAAGACAGGGAGTCTACCTTTTTCCAACATCCGGAATAGTGTCAGATGCCCAACTCTCATTTAATAAATGTTTGTCAAATTAACGCATGAATAACAAAGATTGGATAATAAAATGAACTACTAAAAATGAGAATGACTTATTTTAATAAGGTTTATATAAAAAGTTGGATCTCATTAAATTAAAGGTACTTCATCTTTCATCAAGTTGAGTTTTTGCTTACTTTCCTTTATACTTCTCTCTTTCTTCAAAAAGCATACATAATTTCATATTACTTAAAAATGTATTAAAAGGAAGAAATTAATAAAATGGATACCAATGAGATAAGGGAAAATAATGAAAGCTGTCTTTATCAAGGGCTTATCATATTGTATGTACCTTGCTAGACCACAGGCCACATACACCTCATTGGAGCCTCACAGCATGGTGGGGGTTGGGAGGCGAATCCCAGTTTACAAAGCCAGGAAGTGGCAGAGTCTCAAGTACAGGTCAACTGATCTCAACATGAATCATGTTTTCCCACACCACGTTGGTTCACTAACAGACTTTACAAAATTCTAAAAATTTTATACTAGAACTCAGAAAGCCCTAATGCAATTACAGAAAGAAAAGATTCCAATTAAAACTGTGTTCTGAAAATGTAGAATTTCTATT